ATCTTAAGTGACTTGCCTAGAATCACCCAGTTAATAAGTGAGGCCAGATTTGACCTCAGGAGGATGAGTCTTCCTGACTCCAACACCAAGTACTCTATCTACGGCACCACTTAGCTGCCTCTGGCATTAGGAAGACCTGGGTTCAAATCCTCCCTCAAATGCTTATTACGACCCTGGGCAAGTCACTTAACTTCTGTATGCCTCCGTTCCCTTATCTGTAAAATTGGATAATAGTAATACCCACCCCCCAGGGTTGTTGTGAGGACTAAATGAGAAAATAACTATAAACCACTTAGCACAATGTCTGGCACCTAGTAGGCACTTAATAAATGCTTATTTCCTTCCCTTTCCCTCAGTCGATCAGCCAACAAGCATTTATTAAGCACCTACTACAAGTCAAGACTGTGCTAGGCTTATAGGGCTAAAAAGACAAAAATAAAGTAGTTCCTGACCTCAAACAGTTTGCATTCTATGTAATGGGGAAGGTAGGTGACCATGTGTGCATGTATATAGTATGTATATAGAAAATAAATACCCAATTAGGAGAAAGCCCTAGCAGCTGGGAAGATTGGGAAAGGCCCTGTGCAGGAGGGAATATTTGAAAGAAACTAAGAATTGTGAAGTATGGTAGCTTGTGCTAAGGATGGGAGATAGAACGTCCTTCTGACTGATGCTTAGAACCCAGTCCTGTAACAAGTGGCCTGGGGATAAAGGGTTTGTGAGTGTGGGGAGGAGGACAGTAGACTTGCAGCCGCAATGCTCCAGGAACACAAGCCGGACCTCTTGCCTCCTTAAGGTAAGACCCTGAAATGCTCAGAAAATGATAAAAATTTAAAAAAAAATGCTCAGAAAAGCCGATGTGTGAAGGGAGCATTTTTCCCCGCCAGGAGATAACTTTTAGGTCACTATTAATCCAGGCAACAAGGCAGATGTTACCCCCTAAATTAAAGCTTTGATTTCCCCAAGGAAACATTTCAGAAGGGAAGTGGGCAATTCCTTTTTGATCATTACAGAAGATTCTCTGGCAGAGAAGAGCAGACTCCCCTCTCTCCCTGACTCTTAACCCCCTGCTTCCACCCAACCCCATCCTGCCCCCACAGAACACGGGCTGCCAGGGCAGTAGCTAGCTCATTTCAAATGTGAGATCTTTTTCCATTTTCCCTTTTTCTCCAGCTTTCTAAATTCTTCAGGGGCACCAGAATGCCATTACACTGAGTCATCCTCCCTCCTTCACTAGTTCCCCACTGATATAAACAAAGGCTGAATTTCACATCAGGAGTGACACAGGGGTTTCCTTTGACAGACTGTGGAAAGCTTCGATGTAAACAGCATTTTTTCCCTTTATTTCTAGGGTCAAAGGAATGAATGGTGAATTGGAGATGGGGCTCGGTGGAAATCCTGCTTATTCCCTAGCATCTGAAAACATCTGTGATTTGTGTATTTTGGTCTGCAGCTATTTTTTTTCCCAAGCCTGGAAAAACCTTCCTCGGTGGGCTACGTCCGTGTGATGTCACAGCTAAAATTCTTGAATAGTTTATTTGCCAGCAGATCTGAACTGCCCTGGCTGAAATGATTATCACTCTCCTTCTCTGATGGAAGATTGTATTGGCTGGGGGGTTAGTCCTATGGTCACACCACCGGTCCAGGTTCCCTGTGCCCTGCTGCAATTGAATTAAAACATTTTCTCAGTCTCCTTTCATTACTATAGCTCAAAAGTCAAACCAGAGTAGTGATCTGAGGTTTTGTTAATTCTGCCCTATTGACTTGGAGAGTACATGTCCAGTGTTGAATTCCACTCTGTAGCTGGCTCCCTGTAGATGCTCCCACCCATCTTGTGGCATCTACTTTCAGCATGATATTAAGGGGTCAGATCCTTAGGGTTCCAGTATAGTTTCATCACAGAACTGAAGACCACAAAGAGCTAGAAGAAACCCCCTAGATGTATTTACAAGTTCGAGACATTTCATCTTTGACTCTTTCCACTTGCTCATATCCAGTCAGTTGCTAAGACCTAATAATTTTCCCTTCTCTGTGCAAAGTCAGGGAGATAGGACAAAAAGTATCACGTGTGAGGAACAGTGGGAAGGCCAGTTTGTCTGGGTCTTAGAATCTAAGCCTAGAATAAGTAGCCTGGACACAGGGGAGGAGTCCTGCAACCATAATATGCCCAGAATCCAAGCAAGACTTTTGTGGACCAGTGAACAGGGTGTTAACTTCAGAGTCAGAGGTCTTGGGTTCAAAACTCGTCTCTGATGTTTGCTACCTCTGTGACCTTGAACATATCTCAGCACCTTCCTGAGACTCTTTTCTTATTTGTAAAATGAGGGTCTTGGCCTACAAGCCCTGATGGTCTCTTCCAGCTCTAAAAGTGGGATCTGATGAAATAACCAGACATTGACCCCGCCTGCAACTTAGACTTAGCTGAGGCTGTGGCTCCCCATCTCCCGTCACTGTGCATAGTAGGTACTCTCCCGTCACTGTGCATAGTAGGTACTTCATCACTGCTTATTGGCTGACTCACCTCTCTGCCAAGGAGAAGGAGGCGTGTTTCACTGGCAGTCTGTGGAAGTTATGAGCGGTCATCCCATCTATCAGAGACCTGTTTTCTTTTGCCTTATTGCAGTCATTCTGTAAATCTATTCTGCCTGCTTCTCTCTGTATCCCTCTCATGCATCCTTCACATCACTACCAGAATAATCTTCCTGATGTACATATCTGACCATGTCACTCTTCCCTCAAATTGGACGATATTTGAAAGTGTTTAGCAAAATGCCCAGCACACGTTTTTCAGTCGTGTCCAACACTTTGTGACCCCATTAGGGCTTTTCTTGGCAATAATGCTAGAGGGGTTTGCCATTTCCTTCTCCAGCTCATTTTACAGATGAGGAAACTGAGGCAAACAGGGTTAAGTGACTTGCCCAGGGTCACACAGCTAGGAAGAGTCTGAGGCTGGATTTGAACACAGGAAGATGAGTCTTCACATTTCCAGATTGGTACTCTATCCACTGAGCCATCTAGCTGCCCAGCACATAGTAGGAACTATATAAACACTTATTCAATTCCTCTTCATTCTCTTCCCCTGCTCAAAAGCCCTCACCAGCTTCACTTTGTCTACAGTACACAGTGTCAGTTCCCTCGGCTTTGCATTTAAGGCCTCCCCCCACCTGCCTCCACCCAGACTTACCATGGGCTCCAGGTTCTAACTTGTCAGGATGACTGGCTGTTGCTGAGTCTATTGATGGGTAAGATTGCTAGGGAAGGCTATAGGGAAAGAAGAGGGCATCGGGCCCCCAAGTTCCCTACCGTCACTGGATCAATGAACCTAAAAGTCACACTCAACATGGGAACCCCGAACAGGACATCAGAAGTGTCTGTGCAAATCTTTGCTCACTAGCGGAAAGCTCTGGGACCAGAGCCAAGCTTCACCACCTCATATCTGTGGGATCTTCAGGGATCCACTTATGCTTCGTGCCTCAGTTTCCTAATGTGTAAAATGAGAGGATAGTACTAGATCTTAACTAGGTCTTAACTTTTTCTTTTCTTTTTTCATATCAATGATGTATAGGATAATAAGGCACAGTACACAGAGTGCTGGACTTGAAGTCAGGAGGACCTGAGTTCAAATCTGAACTCAGACACTTCCTAGCTATGTGACCCTGGGCAAGTCATTCTGCCTTGGTTACTTTATCTGTAAAATAGGAATAATAATAGCACTCCTTCCCAGGGTTGTTACAAAAATCAAATGAAATAATAGTAAATTATTGTAAGTACTAATAGCAAATATAAAATAATAGTAAATATATAAGCAATAATAAATTATTATAAGTACTTAATAGTGTCAGTGCACAATAAGTGCTATATTAATGTTAGTAATAGTAATATTACTATTAGTAGTAGTAAATGTTCACAGTAAGTTGAATAGTAAAATTACTATTATTAGTAATAAATTTTAATAGCAAAATTATTACTAGTAGCAGCAAATTTTAATAGTAAATTTACTATTGTTGATAGTAAATTTTAATGGTAAAACTACTATTATTAGTAGTATATTTTTATGGTAAAATTATATAGTAAAATTACTATTATTAGTAGTACATTTTTATAGTAAAATTACTATGGTTAGTAGTATATTTTTATGGTAAAATTAAATAGTAAAATTAGTAGTAGTAGTAGTAAATTTTATAGTAAAATTACTATTGTTAGTAGTACATTTTTATGGTAAAGTTACTATTATTAGTAATGAATTTTAATAGCAAAATTATTATTAGTAACAGTAAATTTACTATTGTTATTAGTAAATTTTAATGGTAAAGTTACTATTATTAGTAGTACATTTTAATGGTAAAACTAAATAATAAAATTACCATTATTAGTAGTAAATTTTTATAGTAAAATTACTATTGCAAGTAGAAATTTTATGGTAAAGTTACTATTATTACTAGTACATTTTATAGTAAAATTACTCTTGTTAGTAGTAAACTTTTATAGTAAAATTACTATTATCATTAATAACTCACACTTCTATAGTGCACTGAGATTTAGGCTGCGCGTTCCTCCTGATAACTCAGAAAATGAGAATAAATACCATTGTCCTCATTCTCCAAAAATAAAACAGCTTGATCAAGGTCACACAGCTACTAAACAGCAGAGCTGGAATTCACATCCAAACTCCAGTCTAGGCTCTGAGCCTGGCATTCTTCCCAGTATGCCACACTACAGTGGGCCCAAAGTGAGACCAGGACCATTGATTCACAGATTGGGTTAACAACGAGTGTCTGATGCGGACAGCTAAAACTGTCGTCAGGCGGCCAGAGGGAGATGGAATTGAAACCTCTCACCCCTGGCATTCACAAACTAGAAAGCAGAAATTTAGCTCTGCGTTTGACCACAAGCAAGAGCCCAATTGCTGGTTCCCCCCCCCCCCCGGCTGTTCCTTCAGTAAAGCCAAGAGAGGAAAAATAGGAGTGTTCTTTTTCTGACAGGAAGGTTTGAGGCCCTACCTTGCTTTGAAATAACCTGTTTCCACCCATGCAGACTGCTGATACTCTCGACTAATGAGATCGGCAGCCACAGAAGCAACATGGTCAGCTGTGTGCTCTCAGCATGTGGAGACGTTAGCCTACAGGGTGAACTGCTTTGAAATGAGGCTGAGGAAGAGGGAGGAAAAAAAATAAAAAAAGAAAACCTCTTCCCTCTCCCCCCACCCCAAAGGAGATTCTTACACAGTGCCATCATGCAATCTTGAAAACCTCCCTAGAGCTGTAGATCACGCTCATTGGACACATGCGAATTATCTCAGATGCATGGAGCTTCTGCCAATGCACAACTTATAATAACAGAGCAGTCTTGCTCTCTCTCCACAGCCCCTGAAAGAAGAGTCTCTCTTGACAGGGCTATTGAGGCCCTTGACATTCCAGGAAATAGTTTACTAATGTCATTCAGGCCAAAATCATATCCAATCCCAGGGAGAGGTTGAACAACAAATACAGTAACCAGAGTCTTTATAAAAAAAAAAATCAGAACAGGGAATAATCCTGTATTCTTTATATAAAATTGGGTTGATTTTTGTTTGTTTTTTTTTTTAACATAGGTAAGGCATCAGAATTCAGTTGAATAATGTCACTCTTGATTAAGCCTGATACAGAAAGGATGGGTTGCTGCCAAGGAGTTGGCAGTGGAATCCTGTGTAGTGCCGCACCCCTCCCCCTTATTTTCTTAGATATTGGATCCAAATCATATTCAGACCTTTATGGGAGTCCCTGGTTTTTCAGTTCTGCTTTTCATTTTATCTGTAATCACTGCAGGGAAAATAGAGTGATTCTGGGCATGATGAGCCTTAACTTCAAGGCTTGGAAATAAACAAGAAGGTCCCACACATAAGGTCATTTCCATAGGAAAGACCATGAACCTGGGTTCCAGTGTTTGAGAAGCCAAGGAGCCTGAGCTCTGGGTTCAATTCATTTCAATCCCAATCAACATGCATTTGTTAGGTGCTTACTGTATACCAGGCACTCTATGAGATGCTGGGTGTACAAGGATGAAAGCTAGATAGTTGTTGCTGTTAATACAAGTATTTAGGATGAAGGGAGACTCACTGGGGAAATCAAAAAAGACCTCTTTTAGGAGATAGCCTTCAGGCTAAATCTTGAAGAGGAAGCTGATAAACAGAAGTGACATGGAACCAAGAATTAGGTAGACTGGGGAGGGGGTGCAAATACCACCTCTGACACTGACCAGCTATGTGACTGTGGGCAAAGCCCTTAACATCTCTCTGAGCCTCAATTTTCTCATCTGTAACAAATGGTCATAATTTGTGGTCCCCACATCACATTTTAAGAAACACTGCTCCAGGTAACTATTCAGCCAACATTTGTTCCAAAGGTTAAATTCACATTAAAAAAAAAAACTTATTCACCATAACTAGTATTTTTATGATGGGCTATTATAAATAAATAAGTCAACTTCCAATTATGCCCACATCATCGGTTGATCACAGGAGGTGTTATCAGGCCTGTGACAAAAGGTTGACCAGATGAATATCGTTACGGTCCTAACCAATCTATGCTTGTTCTCCATCCATATTCTTCACTGGTGTAGATAATTGAGTTAACTATAATTATAAGACCAATGGTATTAATTGGCTTAAGGTTGCAGGCCAGATTTGTGCTCCTATGCTAGCCTTTTTTTTTAGCCACTCAGGGTCTTACTCCAACATTGTTCCTATGTTTGGGAATGCCCTAATTCAGAGAAATATTTCCCTCAAGGTGAGGTGGGGATGTTCATCACTCTACCTACCCTTCTCTTATTTCTCCCAGTCCCCTACACCTGGTCATAGCTTGGCTGTTGACCCTGTATGCCAAACTTAAGCTGCTCTGGGTGGCCGGGCAAGTGAGAGAATTGCAAACACAGAGCCCAGCAGGCAAGAGAGAGACAATTTAATAATGCCCAACTGACAGTTATTTGTTATAATGCACAAATGAAATACTATATGTGAAGTGCTACTAAAAATGTCTAGTTATTATTTGGGAACGATTTGATTCCACAAGTGGGCAGACACAGATTTCTGGCTCTTTATTTATTGCCTCCTTTCTTTGAGATAAAATCTATCATTTTCTGCTGTGTATAGAAGTTATAGGAGAGAGAGTAAACACTCACAAATAGATACAGAAAGACCGATTTTTTTTAACTACTGGGAAGGGGGAGCGGTTTGGCATTGTTTCCTGAAAGATGGAGAGACGTGGCTGCCCAGGGCAACACTGGCTTAGCATAGAAAGTCATTTGTACAAGCTTTTGGAGAAGTATGGTAGAAGATTGTGATGACTATCACCTCATTAAAAAAAGAGAGAGAGAGAGAAAAAAACAGTGGAGGGGAAAGCAGTCCGAAGAAAGTCTATTTAGAGACTCAGCAAGTTAAAGTGTTTTTTCCGATGGTGTTTAAGGATGAAAATAGAATGACCACAAACAGATAAAAAAAAATAGAGAATATCTGTAAATATTTTCATAACAAACTCTTTCCTCTTTTTGGAGACTGGAACCATTACATCTAGACTGTAAAACTGTAGTCCCAGATAAAGTTAGAGATGAAGTGGAAGAGATGAAGTCACTGGAGGAATGGAAGATGAGAAAAGCATCTGGTGGAGCCTGAAACCCAGACCACTCACTGGGAAATGGATGAAGACATTTACAGCCCAGCAGCATCAAAAGCATAAGTTGCCCTTCCTTGTAGTAAATACCCTGTCCATGTATGTTTCCTTCATGATCAGCCCTCTCCCGGATGCATCCTGGCCACTTGTGTTCCCTATTCTTTTTTTGTGCCTCTCTATTTGGTTCCATCCTCCTCATTATTACCAGGTGTATTTGTGGGAAACTATGCCCCAGGTAAACAAGGGAAATTTTTTTATTGCTACTAGCCTTGCTTTGCCATTTCACTAAATGCCTTTGTTTTAAGCTAATTTTATCCTCTTAGTGATTACTGAAAGGTAAACAACACCAATAGGGGCTCATGAACTATAGTTTTAGGGTACTTTGAACCTAGGGAAGCCATCCCTCCAGAGGATCTGCCTTGTGAGCTGGGTGGTACCCAGAACACTATACTATAGAGACACAGACTTTGTAAGTCATTCAGACAGAGCAAGGCCATAGAAAATGTGAAACATCAATTGCAACTATTGCAGCCATCCCATAAAAACTCTTTATCTTTTGGAAGAGTGTGATAAATGTGGTGAGTTATTGGGGGTTTTTTTCTGTATTTGTTAATGTGTGCTTTGAGTTATTTATATTTTAAGTACTTTCTGTGGCAGAGAAAATAAACCATTGATCTATATCTGATATTCATATTGTACACTGAATATTTTTTCTAGAAAGGCCATTATTGCTCACATTTTGGGGAGATCTTATACGTGAGCCATATCCCATCAGGACTCTCTATATCTTTCAGTGAATTGTGTTATGGGAAATATGTGTTCTCCTGTGGAAGGTCATTTGCAAAAAAAGCCTAACTGTTGTTTCCTTCTAATAATATCATCATAGATGCCTTTTTCACGTGTACATTACAATATAGTCTGAATCAAAGAGAGATTCTATATAAATGTTGAAGCCCATCAGTTGCTCCTGCCTGCAGATGGTATTGGCTTGATTGAACAGTGTCCTGGAGCTTTGCAGAGCCTTCTAAATGAGATCCACAATAACTTGAAAGAATTCAGCCTAACAATCCACACAGGAAAAATCAAGTGGATGAAAAATGTCAGCATATTGGTGCAGCTGAGTGGTGCAGTGGATAGAGCTCTGGACTTGGAGTCAGAAGGATTTGAGTTCAAATCCAGCCTCAGACACTTCACACTTACTAGCTGTGTGACCCTGGGCAAGTTATTTAATCCCAATTGCCTCACCAAAAAAAAAAATGTCAGCATAGTTAAATGGACAGCCTCTAAAATTCATCCTCTGTGTATACATAGCTATGTAAATATGCAACCTAAAAGACAGATACTATATGTGTGTATGTATATATATTTCTGTGTATATATGTATATATGTATATGTACCCACACACATATACTATATATAGTTTATAGATACTATCTATTATATGTACATATTATATATGTCTTACACATAATATTACATATTATAGATATTATATAAAGTATCTATAAAATTATATATAACATAGATAAATTTTATATAATGTTTATATATTATATATTTTGTGGTGGTGGTGGTTATTCAGTTGTTTTCAATCGTGTTTAACTCTTTGTTGGGCCCATTTGGGTTGTTTTTTGTTTTTGTTTTTTGGCAAAGATACTGGAGTAATTTGCCATTTCCTTCTCTAGCTCATTTTACGGTTGAGGAAACTGAGACAAACAGGGTTAAGTGACTTGCCCAGAGTCATACAGCTAGTAAGAGTTGGAGGTCAGATTTGAATTCAGGTCCTCCTTACTCTAGGTTTGGTGCTCTATCCACTGTGGTCACCAGATGCCTTATTATATATTATAATATTGCATGTATTTTACGTATAATGTTATATATGTGTAATTTTTTTTTTGTAAATGAACAGTGAATTAGGCCCAAAAGTAGGCAGGAAGAGGAAAGTATGCTGCATTGCCTTTGTGAAATGGCAAAGTTCTTTGAATGACCCCAAGCTTCCTCCTGAAATAAAGGCCTATCTTTTTAATACCAATATTCTTCTGGTGCTGGCAGATGCCTATAAGTTAACGTTACAGGCAAAATTCAAACCCAGAGCCTCTAAGTCTAGCTCCAGAGCAATTCTTACTTCACTTCATTGTCAATCAATCAATGAACAAACATCTATTAAGTCGAAATGGTGTGCTGGGAACTACGCTTAGGGTTCTGGAGAAAGGGAAGACAGGGAGACTGGTCTCACCCTTGAGGAGCTTACATTCTATCTGTCCTGATTTGCCCTCAGAGAGCTGTGGTTTTGTGATACCTCAGAGTGTATCTAGTTGACTGGGGCAGTCAAGTTCTCAAAACAAAATTCAAGCTAATTCACTGACTTCAAAAGAAAGAGATAAACCATACAGGATGTGGAAGAAGGAAGTAGGTCCATGTTGGGGTGAGGGTTGTTCACCGTAAAAATCCAACCAAGAGTAGCTTATGGAGGCACCAGAAAGACTGAGTTTGCTAATACTTGTTAATACTGGTGTTCAATGTTATTAGGCTCCTTGGTATTATCTGATAAGTGCCTTTGTTACTTTATACTTTTTACTTTCAAAACCAAAATGTAATATCCAATAATATTAGCGAGAATTTACATAGAGCTTTTAGGTTTTCTAAAGGTTTTACATGCCATTATCTACTTTGAATCCCACTGGGTCCTCACAGCAGCCATGCTGTGAGGTAGATACGATTATTATCCCCATTTTACAGATGATGAGACTGAGGCAAAGAGAATTGAAGTGACTTGCCCCAGGCCACAGGGCTGTGAAGTGTCTGAGGTAGGATTTTAGTTCACGTCTTCCTGACTCCTGTCTAGAGCTTTATGTAGGGCACCACCTAGCCATAACCACCACCTGTAGAACCTTTGAAATGTCATCTTTTCCCTCTTGGTGTCAGCTTTGTGC